TTTGCAGTTTTGTGCTTAAAAATGTATTTAGCTCATCTCAACATCAAAAATTGTGGCAATTATACACCAAAATTTTTTGCAGTTAAGAACAATAAGGGAAATAATACAGTATCAAAGTATTGTATCAATACCTCACGTTTCAATGTAGATGAAGAACTACTATTTGTTCATCATTTCAAAGCACAATTATTTTTTTTAAATAATAATAAAATCTCAAGATGTTGAAGACTTTTCTGCATTGTGGAAACAGAAAATAAGATAAAATGACGACTCGTGAACAAATGAGTTAACCTGATTTCATTTAGCATAAAACAATGTATCAACCATCATTCGAAGACGAAAAAAAAACACATAAATAAATAAAATGAAAACTAAGGAGAGATGTACTTTGTCTTCACGTGAAGAAGTAATCAGTATTGTGAGGGCGTCAAAAACTCCCTTTTACCCAAAAAGTAATGCCTTTAAATCTTGTTTCCTTGAAAGCTTGTTTAGTAGAAGAGGAGGAAAAGAAAATATATTATGGTATATATTTTGCGTTACATATATCCTTCTTCCTGGTCAACACAGAATGTCATAATTTTTGAAGAAGACGGATCGCCAGACGCTATTACAAATGTGTCACCTTTAAACAAAATGGCAGTCCCTCCCTCGGGAACAACATACAGAAGAATGTAAAAACATAGATGGGAACAGTCCGAGTTCCTAAAAAGGGAACATAGAAATCGTTAACTTACAATTTATAGGTTGCATTTTTCCCGACTTAGCTTCTTGTAAAGTTCTAAAAAGTGCGCTTCACTGAATATGGCTCATAGGAGGAAGTAACAAGGTGTTCCGTAATGACTACCCTTAATACATATTTTTAGTCAAAAATGAAGTTTAAAAAAGTATGCACATTAGGGACCGGTAATAAATATACAATTGGAAGGGGGGGGGAATCAAAGGTCTAAGTTGGCACTAATACAGTCTAATTACTTAAACGTCTAATACAGTCTAAGATGGCACTGAAAATACCATAACTTGTTTGATTGCCTGCCCGGTGAAAACAGAGTGATTATTAGAGCCACCTATATGTTTCATCATGCAATTGGATACTAGTACTTCAAGAATATCAACAAACCCACACACGTGATCTATGACGTCAGAGTCAGCTGATCGTCCATAAACAAAATGGCGAGTTAAAGTTGAGCTAAGTTTTTCAACATAAGTTAGAATGTTAATTTAATACAGCGCTTTATCGCACGTTGTTGTTATTGTCGCACATTGCACAATTTGTTGAAATATAATTCTTTCCCAGATTTATTATTTGTTTATGCATTTTATTATAACACGTGATATATTTTTGTTTTGTGTACTTCATTGCATAATTAGTTTGTTTATGTTCTAAATGACTTCGTTCCCGTCTTTGTGTTAAGTAAGAAACATAGGGTGAAAGAATTGAAATCATTGTGAAGGATTATAGAATGTATCACTTAAGAGAATTGATACTTGACTGGGTAAGCTAACTCGAAATAGAAAGGAAAGAACACAAACCAGAGTCTACGTTTTAACAACCAATCAGACTCGAGATACCCACATTACCTCACTTACCCATTGAAGTGGTTTTGATACTTTTATCATTTTGAAAGATTGAGAGATTTCGATAAAATTTTTGTTTTTTCGTCGCTTCAATACTCGCTGTTCAAAAAGATAGGCATTATTGAAACAATTTATTTTGAATGAAGTATAATTTGGTTATGAACTATCTACATGAAAAGAGAGAGCGAGGTTCAAATTCTTTTTCATCACAGGTTATAAATATTTAATGTGTCCTTGCTGCAGGGCGGAAAATTAAGCAATAGCCAATCCCGTCCCACATGCGAAAAAGCATGTCTTATTTGCAAGATATTGAAATTTTGTTGTTAGATGTTATAAAATAACTAAATATGATTATGAAAAATAAATTAATTAGATTAATTAGTGGAACGCGGAATCAAGAGTTTTCCACATTTTTAATGAGCGCAATAACGAATCGTTTAAGTTCAAAAGTGTGTCACTCTCATTCTATTGCCAAATTTGTTGATATTTTAGTATCACTTATTGACTAGTTTCGTCAGATGTTGAAACATAAATAAATATGTTAATGAAAAAAAAAGATTAAGTTAATTATCTTAATTTTAATAATATTTTAAACATTTTAAGTAATTCTTTGTATTACAGTTTTTAAAATGATTGATTCTATTAACTCATTCGTTAATTGTTTGGTTGAAGTAACTTGATGTTTCAGATAGCGATATTATGTCAATTTAAGCGTACAAAAATTTTGCTGTTCTTCCACCAAAAATCTTAGCATTAAATGAATAATTCCAAGAAACTGAAGCGGTTAAGATATCACTTGATTAAAAAACTTCATTCACTTCAAAAATATGCAAATGGAAATAAAAAATCAACATGTTTCAAGCACTCGAAAATAGGTGCTTATAATAAAGACTTTCAAGACTAGAAAAATTTTCAAATGTTTCTTCTCGATCACGTTTGGCAAGTCTTGAGAATGGGAACAATTTCTTAAACGCTTGAAACATGTAGACTTTTATTTCCATTTACAGATTTTTGACGCCACAGAAGTTTTTTAATCGAGTGATATCTTAGTATTTTCACTTTAACGAATGCCTGGTACGTAATTTGCAGATGACCTAAGTAATTTGAGATCTTAATTTGCACATTAGCTAGATAATTTGTACAAAAAATTATTTAATTTTAACGAAAACATCAACCCCAAAATGTTGATAAAAACGTTTAATGTGCCTTTTTATTAGCATATCTATTTATATTTCGTAAAATAATTACTTAAATGAGATCCATCTTTTTAAATAACTGTGCGTTAATTTACGACCCCTAACGAGCATTTTTTTTTTACTTCATTTCTAAAAAAGATATATGTCAAGGGCGAAGATTAAGTGCACCTGAGGCTGTATAAATAGATTTTTTTTTTTAAATTTGCTAAAAAGCGAAGTACTTATTGAGAGACTAAAGCAACATTTTAATAATATCTTTCCAAAATTTTGAGTCATAGCTCCTATTATCAAAGATTATTTAGGAAATAATACTAATTTCATGTTAACTAGAGCGTAATAGCTAAAATACAGGATTTTAAGATTTTTTTTTGTACTCAATAATACATACGAACAATAAAACTGCAGTATTTATAAGCTTAAATTAAAAATATTTCCCATTCATGATCGATATCAAATGGACTTGAATAAGAAATTTTTATATTTTTGATTTCATAATTTCGAATTGTAACAGACATATAATTCTGTCATTTATTTTAAAACGGTGAGCTCATACCAACAAAAACTGAAAATTAGAAAAAGAAATGTTTAAAATCTTTTACTTTTAACGAGGTTTACTTCAATAGCAGAAGTAATACTAACTAACTGTATAGCAGTATTATAAGTGGTCTAACTTTTAATTAATAATAAATTCTCATTGGCGAAAAAACTACTATACATTTCGCTTGTAAATGTAGGGAAACGATCGAAACTTGCATAGCTATCGGGCACAAAACTCCAGTAGAGATAAGTGCTCTATTTAGTGAAAAAGTGGATGAACCTCGTTGATTGCAATATCAAATAGTTCATCTAAATCTGCCATTTACTGCAAGTTAATGAAACTTAGCAGTAAATGGCAGATTTTCCACATTATTGCAGAAAAAAATTCAAAAGAAATAGCAGCGCTTCTCCTCAAACATTATGAGACAAATGGTTGAAAAATACTATTCTGAATAAAAGATAAAAAAATTTTTTTAGATAAAACACACACAAAGAAATCAGCCAAAGAATAATTTCAATTATAAATATTTTATTTACAAAATTCATCTTAACAAATAATATAATTTTGTATAATAAACAACCTACTTTAAATTTAATAAATGATTAAAAAAAATACTTTGACGACAAATAAAAATTTAAACAGCTAAATCAAACACTGTCTTAAATGTATATCATAAAATAAATGAGAAACTCTAAAAACATCAATTCATAAATAATGCATTCAATAAATATTTAGTTCCAAAATATTTGGATTGAGTTTTTTTTTATTCTTGTTACAAAAAGTCCTTTTATTTAAAAATTTCTTAAACAGATCTTCAAAAAATAATAATAATAATAATTAGTTCATTATTTCTTGTAATGGTAGAGAATTCAACAAAGCTTTGTTCTTAAATTTTCAGTCACTCATTTCCTTTTTATAACAGTTTATTGAGAAAAATATTATTTAAATTACAAATTTTTATAGAAAATTTAAATTTTCGGAGGATAAAATATCTTGAAAAGAGGAGGATTCAGCAATGCATGGATTTCCCCCAGCTAAGTACCATAATTTGCAGAGTAACACAAGGAAACAAAAATTTAATCACACAAGATTACACACATGAGGATTAAATCTAATTTAACATACATACATAATTATTGGCAAGTTGATAGAATGCATCAGACCAAAGTTAGAAACATTTATGGTGATAGCAGTGTGGAAATGATAAGCACGTGCAGTAATAAAAATTTTTTTTTATTCTAACAAATTTAACCAGCAACCTAAAACACATTAAACACGTCTATACATGCAATATTCAAAAATTCATACTCGATCACTTAATTAGAGGAACATGCAGAGAGATAAAATTTTAAGAAGTGCATTTCAAGTTTTAAAAACTCAATTTTGTAAAAATTATTCGAAGGTGTTTTATAAATGGCTCTATTAGAGAATTTTAAGCTAAAAATTGATCAAAATTAACCTAAAAATTATCAAGAAGGGAGGAAGAAACTATGCAAATTAAAACATAATAAATTCATTTGTAAAAATTTTCATGTAATCTATTTATTAAGTTTTCAAATTTATGAAAAAGTTATAGCTTCATGAATAATTTTAGTTTTTAAAATTATGAGCTTTAATAAATTTTAAAATGAAAACAAATTCTATTACTTGGAATTATTATATAACATTATTAAAATAATTTAATTAAAATCATTAAATTCAAATAAAATCATGAGTACAAAAATTAACAATAATCGATTACGCCAAATTTTTTCAGAAAAAAATATTTCAATGAAAGCTAACATACTTGTAGAAATAATCACAATGCATTTAAACATAGATGATAGATAGACTGTGAAATTATACAATTTTCAATTATTTTTACAACACGAAAAGTCACTATCTCCTTTAAAATCAAAAATTTTTTAATAAAAAAATACATACATTATTAATAGGATGATAGAAAGTGGTGATAATAATTTATTCTCGAAACAGTTAATCAAAAAGACTTAGGTTTGAAACCAAAGACTTTTCCTCTTGCTCGATGTATTTAATAATATCTAATTCTTTTAATCCATCTGTTATGCTAGAAGATGAATTATCAATAGATTCAGCTTTGTTAGCATTCTCAGAATCCAAATCAGCAGATCCAGTTTCCGACCTTTTTGAGGTTTTTGGTGGCGGTTTTGGTTTCAGAGGTGGTTTTGGTTTCATCCCTCCTACACTTGGTTTCGGTGAAGTGACTGGCGGTTTAGGTTTTGAAACATTTTCATTCTTGTTCAAAAACACTTTACGGGGCAACACCTATACAACATATGCAAGTTTATTTAAAACTTTCAATCAATCATATTTTATTTAAAAGTATTTTTTATATAAATTAAAACAATCAAAAAAATAAAAATTCAAAGTTGCAATTTAGTAAAACTAGTACAACATGCGAATTGCTCTTATTTCGTAAGATGAATGCTTTGTACCATTTGGATTAGAAATCAAGAATTTTTTTCTGAATAAGATTAATGTGAAAAACTTTGAAATAGGTAGAACACATTTTTGTATTAATACTAATATAAATCAATAAAAACTACATTATGCTTTACAATTAATCATGCATAATTAGAGCAATGATTACAAATGGGTTATTACTAATGGGTTATTCGTAATCATTGCTCTCAGTATGAAAAAAGTACAAACACTATAGGTCCTTAACTAATATTCTAATATTTAAGCGAGATATCGTAACAAAAGAAACTGAAACTAATCTATTTAAGAAAAAAAAAATTGAAATGGAACAAAATGTCGAATGAATTTGTCTTTTATTCTGGCACGCATGCGAAAAAAATTTTGACCCACAAAAATGAATAATCCTGTTTTAAATAATTATTAGTAAGCTTATAAGTAGGAAAAAAAATATTTTTACGCATACTTACAATATATATATATATATATATATATNTATATATATATGTATATATATATAAAATATTTTTGACCTACGAAAAAAAGACTTCAATTATAATTCCGTAATGACAGAGTTAACCTATAAAGCAAATAAAAAAAATAAATAAAATAATAATTTAAAGTGACACACACACAATAAAAAGTATGGTACTTCCTCTTAAGAAGATACACAATAGGGCGTGGCACATTCTGTATTATCTGCATCAGTAATTTAAAACACAGTTAAGACCAAGTTCAGGTAAAGCAAGAGTAAACCATGAGGTTTCAGGTGCTGAAAAAGTGTTTTTCTCAAAATACAGACAAAATAGAGCAGGATTACGTTCGCCAATGCGTTTATCCTGTCATAATTTGTTTGCTTATATTTTGAAGAAGAAAAGAAATCTTTTTTAGCACTTGAAACCTCATGGTTTACGTGAACTTACCTTTTTATATACTTTAAATTACTAGTGCACGTAAAGCAGAATTTGCCTAGATGCGTTTCTCCTGTGGTATAGTGTTCTCCTAAGAATAATTAATTCTGTAGAGAAAAGGGCCAGCCAAAAGAATCTTTCTGCTATTCTGATAATAATAATAAAAAAAAGAAGTTTCTTATGCGAAAAAAAAACATAACAAAGTTAAAATACCTCTGGTTTTTTATTCTCGGTCATTTCTATCTTCCCTAAAGATTTCTTCCTTGGCAAGGGTACGGGTTTTGATGAGATAGTTGGTTCACTACTTTCTATCTTGACTTCAGATGGAGGAGGAACAATAGGTAAGGGCGACAAGTCCAGCAAATCATCCAAATTTTCCTTTGAGCTGAAACAATTACAACTTAACTATTCTGTGGAAGCAATTCATTGATTCTTAAACTATCACAAGAACAAGTAAATTAGAATTGAGGAATGTCTCACTCTCTGTGTTAAAGTTATTTTAATGCTCATGCAGGGCCTGATCAAGAAATGCGGGGGTCCTAGGCACAGAACTTTCTTTATCTCTTCCTACCTACCACGCTTGTCACTAAGTGCCACACTTGAGTAATTTGACTTCAGATTTTTATATTTAGTTATTTAAAATTAAAATATTTGAGCTAAAATGATTTTGACACTGAATGTATTTAATAGCCTAAACCTACGTACAAAGAATAAAATGGGCAGGCCACGTAATCAGAATGGATGAAGACAGTACCACAAAAAGCGTTTTCAATGCCAGACCAGTTGTCACACGAAAAAGATGCAGGCCGAATTTGAGATAGATAGATGGCCTAGAGAAAGACCTTTCGGTCTTAAAAACTGGAAAACACTAACAGGAAAAAGGTTAGCCTGGAAAAAACTTCTTGAGAAGGCAAATGCCCACCTTGGGCTGTCGAGCCATTGATGATGATGAAATGTACTGATCGCAGGGCTTTAGTAATAAATGATATTTTTAACTGCTGAATAAAAATAGATGAAATATTGACTGAGTCATGTCAATCCGATCTTCATTTCTAGACAACGATTCAAATAGGTTTATTTTAAAATCATATAATTTCGTTCAATTCTTTTGGTTTTAAACTCTCAATTTAGAAAACAAACAAAATTAAAAATGTAATAATAACAGAGTAAAATAAATAGTATAGATAATACATTTAAATTTTTTAATATTTATTAATAATTTATTAATATTTTACTCTGAAAAGGCAAAAGCTGAACACGGTAAACTTTAATAAAACATTTATTAATGGATTCAGCATAAGAAATAGTCATTGGACCGCGAGACCATTATCCTCGAAAGAATCATCCGTCCAACTTCCTCATTCAGCAGCGCCCCTCTATTGAACTTCGATTGATTTCAATGTTTAAAAAACTATCTAATTAGTTATTCTTTAACTTGCAGAGCTGCGTGCAGCCAACTTCCAGCTTTCGATGTCGATAGTATTAATTGTCATACCTTCCCTAGCTGCAAATTATCTTGGGCCCTCATTGAACAAATATTCACGAAACTTGGCCCTATGTAGAATTGTCCTATTCACCCGGTATTTTACAGTCACTTTTCAACCCATATCGGCCCTATATAGAATTGTCCTATTCACCCGATATTTCACAGCCACTTTTCAACCCATATCGGCGCCCTATATAGAATTGTTCTATTCACCCGATATTTCACAGCCACTTTTCAACCCATATCGGCCCTATATAGAATTGTCCCATTCACCCGATATTTTACAGTCATTGTTCAGCTAATATAAGCCGTATATTGATTGTATATAGCCCGATATTGGCCTCCTATAGGACCCCTATTTAAAAAATCTAGACATCCCAATAGTGGTCCCTCGGTGTATGTTCATATAGGAACGCCCATTTTGAGACCCACTGGGGCCAAGGTAAGATGGCTGCTAGGGTTCTCTTTTATTAAATTTGTTAACTTAATTATTGCATTTTCCCCGTCTTTGCCCCACAAATCACTAGTAATAATGGAAAATGAATAAGCAAACAAACAGGTTACGGAAGTTTAAAGTAACATTTCCTGTTTACGATTTTTTTTTTAAATTAAAAAAATAAAATAACGCAACATAAATGGAGATCTTTCAAGAATCACCATTACTCATCCACGCAAACTAGCGTGAGCTCAACTTAAATGCGCCATTCTTTCTTATTCTCTCCCCTCTATACTGCATGAAAACTTCTGAAATGCAGCATCAAGTTCTGATCAATCAGAAAAGACGTCTCTCTCTTCTTTTTCATACTTAAAAATAATATTCATTTCATACTCAGCCGATGTAAAACAGCCGCGTCGAAAAGTCTTTTTAACTTCTTAAAAGCATAGAACGTGACATTTGATAGATGCATCATGCATATTTCTTTCATCAGCCATGCATCACACCGTTTTTGTTGTAGTTTTTTTTTTTTTTAGGAGTATAAAAACTATTAAACTCGGAGAAGAAAAAAAGACGTAAGAAAAAATCTCAATAATAATGAAGACTACAAAAGTCATTGGTTATTAGTATACTACACCATTAGTATAGTATTTTTTAAGGGTTCGGTCATCGCATGATAAAACGCTTTGTAGCGAAAAATGTGACATTTATATAACTGTTGTGAGGTTGTTGCAGTTATTTTGGATAACTGTCAGCATAGCTGCCAACATTAATAGAAAAATATCCAGTAGATAAGATAAATTTCATGAGAATGGTAGTATAATATACCAAATCTTTCATACATAGGGAATTTTAGAGATTTTTATAGTCATCAAAATAGAAGAATACATTTTCCAGTTATGATTGACATTAAACATATTTGAAATGTTATGCATTATGTGAGCTCATAATTTCGAATATGAATAGGCATTTAACTCATCAAAGATAGTCGAAAATTTCTTTTTAAATTCATTTAAAAAGATAGCTCAGAATAAAAAAAAATAAAAAAAGAACGCTTTAGAACAAAAAAAGTATTCAACTGATTTCTATTAAAGAGGTTCACCTCATTATGCATTAGTAATACTTATTTAAATACTCAAGCAAGCAAGCAATAATGTGTACAAGAACTCTATTTCAACAGGAATTTTTTCAGGAATCTTAGGGAATTTTCTAAAAAGTACAAAAACCAGGAGAATTTTAATTAAACCAGTAGACTAAGAGAAACTGGCAAAATCCAGTAGTCTATTGGAAAATCCAGTACAGTTGGCAGCTATGTGTTTGTTTAAGTTCGGCTCACCTTCAGAGAGAAGGTTTCTTTGCTAATTATGAAAATGGCTCAACAGGTCATAATGAAAAAAAAAGACAGAATTTTGTAAAAATAGAAAGCATGTGTGATCAAGGCGAAAATTGTCAGCCAAATTTTAAAAAAAAAGTTTCATAACATTCTAAAATATTTTATCTATTTATCCGTTCATAAGTTCAGACAATTATTTATTGCAAGACAGTAGACAAACATTTGAAATAAATATATTTCAATTTAAGATACTTAGATTGTGATTTTTTTCTCTAAAGGTGAAAGAACTTCGAAAAACACCCATAAAGAATTTGACAAATATTGCGGTTCATTTAATTTGTAATAAGGTTCAGTAGTTCTGAGCTTGACGTCGAGATGGCTTAAAATATCCCCCCTATTCTATTAATTTAAGTTAATCTGATGAATCTTTAATTTTTCACAGTTCCTGATGTTTATTTTTGTTGCAACAAAAATGTAATGTAGCAAAAAATTTTCAAAACTCTTAACACCGAGGAAAATAAAGAAACCACAGTTTGGGTGTCTTCAACTCGAAGCAGAGCTTTAGTTTAGCTCTATAGGAAAATAATTTATTGAAATTTGGACAAAATTTAACCTGACAGTCATGAATAATTGCTACGATCTGACATTCTCGATTGCCAAATTGTCGAATCCGCCATTTTGAAGTTGATCTTCGGAACTAAAATGAATGACATTAAAATCTATACAAAATCACTTAGTTTTAAAATATTAAACAATTACATCTTGTACTCGGGAGTAAGTGGATTAAAATAAATAAATTTTGAAAAAAAAAAAAAACCATTGTCATGCACTAGCGTTTTACATTGAGATATACTTGAATTTATCTTTCGTGTTCTATACTGTTCTAGAATAAAAATTTGTATTCGCAAAGTTCCCCCNTCCCCCCCCCCCCGCCCAAATGATTAAAGGAAAAAAAATCACCCTACATTAAATGGATCAATTACGCAGACGATACACAGAAAATTCATATACTTTTTGGGATATATATATCTTCATCTATCCGAATTGTCCATTTGGTGAGGTTTTTCCATTTTTCGAACAGAGTTCATACTTAGAAAGAAGAAATATTCTCCCTGACTTTTGCAGGTAGATTTACGAAAAATTCCGGCGAAACTTAATAAAAAAAAATAAATAAATAAAAAAAATAAAAAAACACGTCAATATTCTCAAGGAAGAGGTTTCAAATTCCTAACTCCAACATCCCTCCGCAGAAACGCTTAAGAATAATAGAATCTCGATTGTACACTTCATGACGGTCTCTCTTTTTTCAAATCCTTAATTGCGAAAGCATTTGAGCAAGTTTGCATCCCTAATATACTTTATTTTTAAGTATATTAGGGATGCAAACGGGAGTGAAACACGATAGGGTGTCAAATTTCCTCACAATTCTCGGTTTTGGGGGAAAAAGTTCGCTGTTCCCTAACTTTTTTTCTTTCTTTCGATTCTCGTTGTCCCTGATAATTCCCGTTGCGTACGGATCCTGTTCGAAACTCTTCCGACAGGAAAAATAAAAAAATCCATATTTTAAGTACTTTATCTACGAAGCAAAGCTACAATTTTTTTTAACTCAAAATATCATCTCGCATTAATGAATTATGTGGTTTTTTAGAATGGTCAAAAAAATTTAAATATTTTGAATGTCATAATATTTTTTTTAAAAATCACCAATAAGGCAAGATTTTTTCATTCAAATAAAAATTATCAAAATTAATGACAAATCCGTAATTTTTACAAGTTTTTATGTAGATTTAGAGTAACTTTTAAAATATGAGATCACAAACGCTTGTCATTTCCGCCTTTTCTTCGCATGGACCCTCCGATTTAATTTCCGATTTAACAACACAGTAAACTAAACTTGACCTAACAGTCTCAAATAACTGTTGCAAACTGACAGCAGTTATGAAAATAGGGAAGTGACGATAAATTTTACAAAAAGCAGCCTTAATAAATGAACAATTCTCAATTTGTCCAAGATTACTACGAGCCCAAATAATGGAGTGGTAGAGTTATTTTTAAAATAGTTAAGTATCAGATCAAAAAATGCTCTTTTATTCTCTTAAAACTGTGGCTTTTCTAATTTTGTGCTACTTT